CCGCCCGCCCTCTGTCCGCCGCGCCCCGCCCTCACCCCCTCCAGTGTCTTCCTGTGGATGCTGCTATGTCGTGTCCTCGCTCCCTCCCTTCCTCGACCGAGAAGACGCTTTGACCGCTGAAATGTGAAGGCAGAACCAGAGAGGGCACTCGCAGGGCTGCAGAGGCCTCGGGGCCGCGGCCTTGGCCTCGCCACACTACGCCCCTGGCAGCCCCCGCGCCAGGGCAGGGCGAGGACGCCACGCTGCCGCCCCCCGCGGCCAGACCCCGCCACCCACGCCCCACCACTCCCCAGTCCTCGGGTTCGATGTTTACTTTCTCATTCGGATGCCAGCAACGAGGGAGCGCCCCAGGAACCCCAGTGCAGGCAGGGCGCGGGACAGCTGTGCCCAATCGCTCCGCCCACACCGGCCAGGCCGAGGGGCTCCCAGGGCAGGCGGGTCCCCCAGCCCCGCCGTACGGGTTGCCTGACCCCACGCGCGTGCGGCGTTTTTGTTTATAAGCTTCCCGCTCACCCCGCCATCGGCAGCCCCTACCCCGGAGCTCTGCTAGAGCGTATTTATTTTCGGAGTGAGCAGTTTATTTCTCCCAGAGAAAGGAAAATCTTGTGAAAGATTTTAAAACTCAGATCTCAGTCTTTGACAGTTCCCCCGCCCCTTTCTCCTTTTCAGGGTTTATTTCCATGAATTTTTTTTTTTCTTGTGCGTGTATAAAATCAAAACGAAGGGAAAAAAAAAATAAGTTTTTGAAGTTCAGAACCCACTTCTGTATATAGACTGCCAGAAAGGACTTTTTCTTGGGAACATTGTTTCTTGTAGAAACATGTGGGGAGACTTTTTTGCTCATTTCTTTGTACTTCCAAAAAAAAAAAAGAAAAAAAAAAAAGACACACAAAAGCAAGTCCCCGTCCCGAAAGCAGAGCAGGCGTGTACATAATCTCCGGAACGAGGCCGTTGTGACGGGGTCCTCACGAGATGCGACCGCACCCCCTCTGCGGACGGACGGCGGCGCCTCTGGTATCTCAGCTTGTGTCAAGCTTGTTATCATGTAAATTCTGTACAAAGAATTGTTATTTTTCTCTTTTTTTGTCGTTGGTGGTTTTGTTGTTTTGTTTTTTTTTTTTTTTAATTTTTTCTCAGGCCCTCTCTGTGTGCAACTGTGCCCACCGGTTTCCAAGGTGCAGGAAACTGGTGGCCTTAAGGTAGAGGGGCACCTGGGCGCAGCGGCGACCTTCTCTTCCGATTGCAGTTTTCTGCCTAACGTGCAACCGAGGAAATATTTATTTTTCACATGAGGAAATGGTATAGTTTGTAGATGGCTGATTTAAGTTACTTGTGCAGCCTCCAAGGGGCTGTCTTCATCCTGTCCCCCGTTAAAGAAGTGGGGGACAACACGAGGAAACCAGGGGAGGCTGTGTGTGCCCTCGCCCCGCCCCGCCTCACAGCCGCAGCCCGGGCAACGCCGGCCGCTGCGGGCGAGGGCTGGGCCCCTCTCCCCAAATCCCCGGGCAACCCCGGAATGGTTTGCAATAATCCACGTATGTGTTGGCCCATTTTCCCTTTGTAGCCGTTGTTTTGCATTGAACAAATCTCTACTTTTGAAGTGTCGGGGGTTTCTGCTTTTTTTGCTTTTCTTTTCCCTTTTCTCTCCCTCTGCAAAGAAGAGAACGGATAAACTTTAGGGTTGTTTGTGCGTAGACTCTGCCATCCGTATGTAACTTGTTTTGAAGAGAAGTGTTTCTGTTGTGGGTGTGTCTTGCTGTAAATATTTGTTCATATTTTTGTGAATTCAATACTATGTACCATTGTATTATAGTAACTTTTATAAAGCAAACCATAAATATACTGACTTTTCTTACAGACACGCCGTCTCTTGCTCTCCTCTCCCCTCCTTGCTTCTTTGTTGAGTGTGTACTGTGCTCACAGGAGATGGGCGGGCAGGCGCGTGGGGTGTGGCGTGGCCCACCCAGACCATCGGCTCTCACCCTGCCCGAAGGTGGGGTCTGTGAACTGGCCTGAGTCATGGTCAGACCACGACCACACCTTCCAGCTTTGAAGTTTTTCTTGTAGACTTATTTAATATAAGACCTTAGGAACCCAGTTAGGAAACAAGATCACTCATCCTGTTGCCATCACTAGAACTTGGTTCCTCAAAAATGTTGAACATTAGCTGGGCCTCGTGTCCTACACCTGTAATCCCAGCACTCTGGGAGGCTGAGGCAGGAGCATCGCAAGTTGGAGCCCAGTTGAAGCAATTTAGGGAGATTTTGTCTCACAATAAAAGATGAAAGCACGGCTGGGGGTGTAGCTCAGTGCAAAGGCCCGGGGCTCAATCCCCAGTACTGGGAAAATGTTGACTGCTGGTCTGCATTTGATAGGAAGAAGGCTGGTAGAAGTCACAGGTTGAACCAAATTCAGTACCTCCAGTGGTGGCACTGCAGGTGGAGCTGGTCCCCTCGGGGTCTGTTCTGTCCGACAAGGGGCCGTGGCAGGGTTGTCAGAAGTCCGAGGACAGGCACAAAGGAAGTCTTGGCAACAAGCAACACGGCTGGAGGACACCAGGCCTCCCCTCTCCCGCAGCAACATGAGTGACACCGCAGACCATTTCTCCTGCCAAACTGGCCACCGAGTCACAAAATACTCAGTGTCTGTGGGCAGGAGGCAAGGAGAAGCGGAAGTGCTGCAGCCTTCTTCAGGGGGAGAAAGTGGACACGGACAAGCAAGTGTGGAAAGTGCATAAGCCAGGTGTGGTGGCGCATGCCTGAGATCCTGGCACTCGAGAGGCTGAGGCAGGAGGATTGCTGCAAGTCTGAGGCCAGCCTGGGCTTCACAGTGAGTTCCAGACCAGCCTAAACGGCTAGTGAAAGCCTGTTTCAATCGATCCATAATAAAAATGCACAAAAACCCTTGACCCAAATTTCCACTGTCAAGAATTGAGCCCGACAGTCACAAGGGACGGTGATGTGTATAAGGGGATCTTTGCCACTGCATTAATCATAGCGCTGTTAGTGGTGGGCTGGTTTGAGGATGGATTCATGGGAGAAGAGAAAGCTGGGGTTGGGGCTGAGCCAGGAAAGAGACGGTGCCTCTGGGCTATTCATTTGTTCAACCAGTACATATGTATGTATATTTATTTATTTAGATAGGATCTTGTTATGCAGCCCATGTTGGCCTTGCACTCACAGAGATCCTCCCGCTTCAGCCTCCTGAATGCCGGGATTACAGGCATGGGCACCACACCTGGTTTCCACCAATATTTATTGAGCAGCTACTGTATGATGTGTCAGGCACTACCGCAGACACAGTGGTTGCAAGAGTGAAAAGAACACTCCCTGTGTCTTCCCAGAGATTATGTCCTTGTGGGTACGAGCACTGCAAAGAAGAAATGCTAAAATAAGGAGAAGCAGCGGCCAGTAGTGGCTACTGGGGGGGTGAAATTTGAAATGAAGTCTCAAGGAAGTCGACTGGGCTGACATTTGAGTGAAGCTTGAAAGGAGAACACAGCGGCCCTGTGGCCATCAGCAGGGAGGGTTCGGGCAGGAGGGACAGCTGCGAAGGCCCCAAGGCAGTGGGTGCAAGGCGGCCTCCTGGGGGAGGGCAGGGAAAACAACACATCCCTGAGAGCTCTGAGCAGGGAGCACAGGGAAGGCAGGGGGTAGTTTAAAGAACCCGGTCCTGGAATTTGTATGTGAAATAGCCCAACCTTCTCAAATATCCACTCGTTTGTTTGCAAGCAAAATAGAATACATGTGAAGGCCAGGTTTGGCCCAGAAGCCGCTGATCTGCAGCCTTCTGAGCTATAGAATTTCCCTCTTTGCATGAGCCGGGGAGACTGAGGGAGCTTTGCATGGCCCCAGAGCCTGCCCCTCGGTTCTCACTGGGTTCTGGTCATTTCTGAAGTTTAGGATTCCAGAAACCCCGACATTTTCCCTCTAATCTGGAAAAAACTTCCGATTCCTCATAATACCCATGCAGATAGTATTCTTTCTTTCTTTCTTTCTTTTGTCTTCTTGAGACAGGGTCCTACTATGCAGTTCATGCTGGTCTTGAACTCACTGTGTAGCCCAGGCTGGCTTTGAACTTGCAATGATCCTCCTGCCTCAGCCTCCCGAGTGCAGGGATTACAGGCGTGCGCCACCACACCCAGCTTCTTGGTGGAGATTGAACTCGGGGGCCTGGAGCTTGCTAGGTAAGTGCTCTCCCTGGAGCCACACTCCCAGGTCCTGCTCAGCCTTGCCTTTGAAGAAATCATTTTCTTCCCAGGGTCTTGGCATCAGCTGCTCTTCTGCCAGGTGTCTCATTTTTTTTTTTTTGCAGCGGGGTCTCACATGTAGTGCAGGCTGGCCTTGATGCCCACTCACACTTGGGTATGGACAAACCCCTTTCCCAAAGGAGAAAGGTGGGCGGTGCTGCTGTCCTGGGCGGGACACTGGCGACAGTGCCTAGGGTGCAGGGCAGAAGCTGTGCTCGGGCCCCTCCCACCGTCTCTGTCTAGACCCCGAACCACATCCTGTGCGTGCAGAACGGGTGGCCTGGTCAGCACTCGCCCATTTCGCACACTCTGAGCAACAAAACCGAGGTCACTTATGCTCAGGACCATAAACCCATCAGCGGCTGCTGGTCTCTCTTCCTGGGACACTGTCGCCATGGCTGGCTCTCAAGTGTCACCTTGTCACAGGGGTCTTCCCTCTGTTGAAGCTAGTTATCCTGAGACCTTCACTGCCGCTGTTCTCCTGCTTCAGCCTCCCGAGTGCGGGGATCACAGCCGTGGGCCACCATGCCCGGCTCCTCATCACCCGCTTCACTGTTGGCATTTGTGATGAAATGATACCTGGAGAAATGCCTGTTCTCCAGTTCCAGAGAAGCCCATCACACCAGTGTCCGCTCGGGTCGCGCAGCGCCGCTGGGAACCCCTAATCCACGCGCGGGCCCTGGACTCCCCCTGGCGGCAAACGCGCGCCACTGCTCCTCGCTGGGCAGAGATACCAGACCACAGACACCGCCTCGTTCCCAGGCCGCTTTACTCGGGTGGGAGGAGCGAGCGGGAGCGGCTCCACGAGGGGGGCGTGGTCTCAAGGGGGCGTGGTCAGTGGGAGAGACCCGGGTGTGGGCGTGTCGGGGCGTGCCCCGGTGGGCGGGGCCTACATGCCGGATGCCACACCATTGGTCTCCAGGTCGGTGAGGTTTCCTCGCAGGTCCTGCTCCGCCTCGAAAGCCTTAAACAGCGCGTTGAAGTTGCCCGCTCCGAAGCCCTGGGCGGGGAGAGCAGGTGAGCCGGGGCCGCACGGAATCTGCCCCGCGACCGAGGCTCCATACTGGGCTCAGCCGTACCTGGTGGTTGTGGCGCTGGATGACCTCCAGGAAGAGCGTGGGCCGGTCCTGCATGGGCTTGGTGAAGATCTGCAGGAGGTAGCCCTTCTCGTCGTAGTCCACCAGGATCTTCAGCTCCTGAGGGAGGAGGGGGCTCCTCAGCGGGGCCGCCCGCCCTTCCAGCCTGGCATGGTGGGGTTCTGCGCTCCCGGACCCCGGAAAAGACGCCTGTGTCCGGCAGCTCCAGCCACCTCCAAATTTGTCGCACAGGGTCCTGGTACCAGGGCCTGACTCAGTCCCGCCCCAGCACCTTCCTTTTTCTGATCTTGCCTTCATCCTCCCCTCAGTCCTGAAGTCAGAGCATGCCACTTGTTTATAATTTTTATTATTTCTTTTTTTTTTGGTTTTTTGGTTTTTCCTCTGGTACCGGGAACCGAACTCACGACCTTGCGCTTGCCAGGCAGGCGCTTTGCCGCTGAGCTAAATCTCCAGCCCCTTTATTATTTATTTCTTTACTTATTTATTTTTCGGTCTGGGGATTGAACCCAAGGCTTTCACACTTAGCTACATTCCTAGTCCCTTTAAAAAATTTCTCTCTGTCTTTCTCTTTTTTTTTTTTTCTATAGTGAGACAAGTTCCCACTAAGGCACAAAATTTCCCAGGCTAGGCTCAAACTTGACATCCTTCTGCCTCGGCCTTCCAGAATGTTGGGATTACAGGTATACACCACCACATCCCACTTGTCACTCCTGTTTAAGAAGAGGCCCTGGGAAGCTGGGCAGCGTGGCACAAGGCCTGTAATCCCAGCACTTGAGAGGCTGAGGCAGGAGATTGTCCTTAGTCTGAGGCCAGCCTGGGCTACATAAGCAAGTTCAAGGCCAGCCTGCACTATATAGTGAGACCTTGTCTCAAAAAAAACCCCAAAATCAAAGAAGAGGCCCTGAGTTCAGTCTGCAGCACCTCCAGCACTGCTCCCTCCAAAACAAAACAAAAGAGCCGGGCGTGGTGGCGCACGCCTGTAATCCCAGCGCTTGGGAGGCTGAGGCAGGAGGATCATTGTTTATGGCTGTTTTTGAAACAGCGTCTCTTTACGCAATCCATGTTGGCCTTGAACTTTTTTGTTTGTTTGTTTGTTTTTCTGGTACCAGGAATCGAACTCACGACCTTGCACTTGCCAGGCAGGCGCTGTGCCGCTGAGCTAAATCCCCAGCCCCTGGCAGGAGGATCACTGTGAGTTTGAGATCAGCCTGGGCTACAAAGTGAGCTCAAGGCCAGCCCGAACTGCATAGTGAGACCCTATCTCAAAAAGACAAAAAAGAAATAAATGAATAAAAAACAAAATAAAACAAAAAACCTTCCAAAGGAAATTAGAATCATGATGTGTTGTTGCTGAGAATGTAAAATAGCGGCAGTTTCTTGAAGGATTGAACATAAAGTGACCATGTGACTCTGCGATTCCACTCCCAGCCATATACTCAGAGAAATGAGGGCACAGGTCCCACAAAACCTTGAACACCTACATCCATAGCAGCAAGTAATTTGTAAAATCAACAACTCACCAACTGATAAATGGATAAACCAAATGTGATCTTTTCAGACAATGGGATATCATTCAGCCATAGAAAGAAATTAAGTGCGGATATATGCTGCAACATGAGTGAACTTTGAGCCAGGAGTGGTGGCGTATGCCTGTAAATCCCAGCACTCTGGGAAGCTGAGGCGGGAGGATTGCAAGTTCAAGTCCTGCCTGGGAAATACAGTGAGACTCTGTTTGAAAATAATTTTTAAAAAAAATTTTGTTTTTTTTTAGGACCTTTGTACCTGCTGTTCCCTCTGCCAGGATGCTCTTTCTAGAGCCCTTGCAGTGTACAGATTTCAGTTAAACTTACCTTTTCAGAGAGGACCTCCCTGACCGTTCCTTGTAAAGTCGCCCCAGGCAACATTTTATTTTATTTATTTTTTTTTTGAGATCGGGCCTTGCTATATAGTCAGGCTGGACTAATACTGTGTAGCCCAGCCTGGCCTTAAACTTAGCAATCCTCCTGTCTCAGCCTCCCTGGTGCTTGGAATTACAACCATGCGCCACCACACCTGGCTCCTCTGCATTTCTCTCCCTCTCTCTCTCCCCCACAGCTGCTGCGGGTAGAGGCCTGGTCTCCTACCTCAGGCCTCTCTCACCTCCAGCACATCGATGTTCTCCTTCACCCGGACCTTGGCGGACTTGAGGTTCTCCCGAAGCTGCGTGTAGTACGAGGATGGAACAGCCAAGAACTCCGCGCCTCGCTCTCGCAAGTGGCGAATCTGGCGGAGCAGGGCTGGGGTTGGCTGCCTGTCCACATGGGGAGGGGCCAGGCCGGGCAGTGCTGCTGGGCCGCCTGGCTTCCCCCACATGTCCTCATATCCCTGCTTTATTCTCCCCCGAAGCGCTCACCATCGCCTGTTTATTCTACTTATGCTGTTTATCGGCTCCGTAAGGGCAGAAACCCCGGTGACCAATGTATCCCACATCCCTAAAATAGCGCCTGGCACATAGTAGATGCTCGGTAAACGCCTAGGAGTGAATGCATAAACGAAGTCGCCAAGGTCACGCGTAAGCTCTTGGCCGGGCCAAGATCGAATGGGACAGGCCAGGCTCTCATCCTGAGGGGACGGTTAGGACCCAGCCTCCCTACGGGCTGCACCCACAGACACAGGATGTTTCATTTGGCTAAAAGGACATAACTGAGCTTGTAATCTAATATCCTCATTTTCACAGTAAGGCAGCTCAAGCTCAGAGAGGGCGCTGAGCTCCCCCGAGAAACACAGCAAGGCACAGGACTACAATCTTCCTCCTTCGCTCCTGCGCCCTCTAGAGCCCAGTGCGTTCTGCAGAGACCAAGCCGGGGGTGGGGTGGGGGGGTGAGGCGGGCACCACCTGCACAGGAGGGGCAGGACCCAGGCAGGGAGCCCTGCTGGGCCCTTGGGCCCTGCCCATCCCTCTCCATTTGCAGAGATTGTCCCTGGGCCTGCAAGAGCGGGGGCAGGGGGCCAGGCGTGAGGCTCTCACCGCCGTGATGATGTCTTGGGTCTTGAGAGCGATGTGCTGGACCCCGGCACCCCCATTGTAGTCCACGTATTCCTAGGAGGAGAAGTAAGGAGATCGCCGTCCTTGGTCTCCGTCACCCTCAGCCCTCCCCTCCTGCCAGGGGAGGCCCCACCTGGATCTGAGACTTCTTCTTGCCCGGCGCCGGCTCGTTAATGGGCATCTTGATGGACTCTTCGTAGTCGGTGACCACGATGGAGCGCAGGGAGCTGTATTCCGTGTGCACCTGTGTGTCGTCCACCGACCAGAAACGGTGGAACTGCAGGTTCCTCAGGTACCTGCGCATGGCCAGCAGGACCCGTCCCCCTGAGTGCCAGCCGGGGATGGGGCAACCCCTCCATTTCTACCTTGTGGGCAATGTCCCCCACAGGCTTCACAGCGGGGAGGGCAATCACATCGTACACATCATAGATTTGTCCCTAACCCTAACAAGTGTTCTCCGAGGGCTCAAGTCACTTGTAATACAATCTATTTTCCTGTTTTGTTTTGTCTTGTTTTGTTTTGCTTTGTTTTGTTTTGTTTGAGACAGGGTCTCACTATGTAGCTCAAGCTGGCTTTGAACAAACTATGGAGCCCAGGCTAGGGCTTGAACTTGAGGTGATCCTCCTGCCTCAGCCTGCTGAATGCCGGGATGACAGATGTGCACCGCTATGCCCAGCCTCCCCTGGTCTTCTTGTGGAGTTTCACAGTGAATAACTGACTCAGTAGGCTCAGGTTAACCTCCTCCACCTCACACTCCACTTCCCACCGCAGTGCCAGAACTGGCGAGGGGTCTGTCCCCTTGGGGTGGTGGTGGCCAGGGCTCACCATTCCGAGGCAGACAGCATCTCCTGATCGGGCTGATTTCCCACAATGTGGTCGATAATCTCGAGGCCGCAGCTGGGGCTGGAAAAGGGAAGGGTTTGGGGGTGAGCAGGTTGCCCCTATCTCTGCCTCTACACTGACCCCTTGATAATAACAGCTCATGCTTAGCCGGCTCTTCCTCTGGGTAGGGCACTTTTCTGTGAACTCACGCGTTATTAAGGTGAGCCACCAAAGTTGCACGGCTGTGGAGTGACAGAGGCGGGATTCGAACCCGGGAGGCCTGGTGCCACAACCCCAGCTCTGTGCGCCGGCTCAGAAGGCCCAGTCCCGAGGGAGGAGAAGAACCTTGCCGTCCCGCCCCACTCACAGCTTGGAGAGTAGAGAGTCCTTGGCTCGGGCGGCCTCGAATCCAGGCAAGAAGCTGCCAGAGTAGCCGGTCTTCTCCACCAGGGTGTGGGTGGTGTCCCCGTACTGCGGGGGAGCAGCGGCTCAGCCCTCCGACGCCGCCCGGCTTCCAGCCGAGTGTGACCCGAACTCCGCGCGCCACCCCGGGGAAGCTGCTCCCCGTCTCGGTGCGCTGCCCCTGCCCCGTGGGACAGCGGCTCTCCACAGACACACAGCTCGTGGCGGCACGGCTTCCTCTCCCCAAGCCCTTGCTGTCTGTCGCCTCCCTCGGGAGGACGGGACGCCCAGAGCGGGAGGCCGGGGGCTCCGTCCGCCCCCGCACTCTGGCCAGGCGTCGCAGGAGGCCCCACCGGAGGGATGCGCAGTGGGGCGCGTTTGGGGGCCTGCGTCTCAGTGGGATCTGACCGCACCAGAGGCGCCTGGGGACACCGAGGCCGACTCACCGTCTGCAGCACAGCAAACTTCACCTTCCCGGACTTGTCCTGCTCCACCCACGGCTCCCGCACGACCTTGGCGCCCCGCTCCCGGGCTTTCTGCAGGGGAGTCGGAGTGGCGGGAGCTCTGAGGGCTGCGCCCTGGTGTCCGGCTGCTGCTCTTGCTGGGTGAACTTTGGTGGCCCTGACCCCATCAAAGACCCCAGCCAGCTTCAGCCACTACTCCCCACGCCACACCTGTGTCTCAGGCCCACTGGGCAGGTAGGGAAACGGAGGCCCAGGCTGAGTTGGGGTGAAGGGAGACAAACCATGTGGGAAGTGAGGGGTCTACCCTGCCTCTCAGAACCCATTCTGTGGCCTTGCTCCCTCTCCAGGCCTCAGTTTCTCTCTCTAAAAAGAGTGAGCGGGCCAAGTGTACATGGCTGCCATCCCAGCTACTTAGGAGGCTGAGGCAGGAGGATCACAAGTTCGAGGCCAGCCTTGGCAACTTAGCGAGACCTTGTCTCAAAATAAAAGGGCTGGGAATTTAGCTCAGTGGTGCTAAGCCCAGCACCCCTGAGCTCAGTCCCTGGTACCAGGAAAAAAAAGATTGGATAAGAAGGATATGAGCTGACTTTTTCTTCTTTTTAAGACAGGGTCTTTCTATGTAGTTGAGGCTGGTCTCAAAGTCTTGATGACCCTCCTGCCACAGCCTCTATAGTGCTGGGGTTATCAGCATGTCCCACCACCCCGGCACCGTAAACTCCTCTTAAGCACTGTGTGCGGCTCAGCGCCGAGCTCCAGAAATGGTAAGCGCGGCCTCTTTCCTCTGCCAGCAACTCACTGAGGCCGGCGCTGTGACTCTGTTTTACAGATGTGGAGACTGAGGCTCAAAACGAAGGCACACGGTTAGAAGGGCAGTCCCGCTGTCCCTGGAGCTCGGCTGTCCCAGCCGGCCAGGGTCCCCGGGGCAGCGGCGGCTGGCCAAGCCCTCTGTGCCCTGTCCTGCTCAGCCCGGCAGGCTGTCACCTGCACGATGTAGTCGCAGTCCTCCACCTCGAAGGCGATGTCCTTCACGCCGTCGCCGTGCTTCACCAGGTGGTCGCCCATCTCTGCGGATGGCAGGGGATGCTGACGAACCTGGGCTGGGCTTCGTCCCAGGTCCCCCTTGCCGAGCCCGGGCCCACACACACACGGGACCACTTCGCCTCCCCAGGCCCTCACCTTTGTTCCAGGGGTTCAGTGGTGAGGAGAAGACAAACACAATCTGAAACACAGGGGAGTGTGTGGGCAGCAGCTCAGGTACCCCTACTCCGAAGCACCCTGAAACCCAGTGCAGCAAAGGACCCATCCTCGTGGGACTCCTGGGTCCCGGATGTGGCTCCTTCCAGCCTCAGAGCCAGCCTGAAGCCCAAGGATCTGCAGAGCAGACTACTGCTTAAACTCCCTGCTGTAGCATCCAGGGTTTCCTGAACCTCTGTGTGGCCAGCTCTGGGCCAGGCTGAGAAGGAGGCCGAACCAGGAAGATCTCTGTTGCCAGGCTGCACAAAGGTACCTGGAGGTCCACCCAGTGGGGCTGAACTGTGCATCCAGGAACCAGCCAGGCTGTGCATTTGCTTGCTTGTTTGAATGGTACTAGGGACTGAACCCAGGACCTTCACACCGAGCCACATTCCAGTCCTTTTTATTTTGACAGTGCCCTGCTAAGCTTCGCTCAGACTTGCAACCCTCCTGTCTCAGCCTCCCAGAGTACAGGGATTACAGGCATGCACCACTGTGCATCTTGAAGCAGGTGTGCACTACGCGAAGGTGCGGGTCCAGGGACGCTGTGGCGGGACCCACCTGCCCCTGCTTGATCACGTGGCTCGCCACCTCCCGCGAGCCCGTCTCCAGGCCCCGGTAGGCCAGCGGCTCGAAGCCCATCTTGCTGCAGTAGAAGGAGGCAGCCTGCGGGACAGGGGCAGGGGGCTCCTGTGGGTGGAGCGCCTTCCTGGGAATCCCCAGAAGACAGCCCCGCCCCCCGGCCGCCCTCTGGTCCCAGGCACGGAGACCCTAGAGGTAAAGGCGGCTCCGGGCACCTCCCGCCTCTGATTGCGCAATGAGGGCCCGGCCCCTCCCCTCCCGGGAGCCAATCCCCGCAGCGCAGACCCGCGCGCCGCCGCGCCGCCGCTACCTGCTTGGCGTTGCCCACCCAGAAGGTCACCGAGTGGAAGTGGAGGAACCGGCCTCGCTCGGGCTGCAGGAGGAGACAGAGGCCAAGGCCAAGACCCCGGAAGTGGGGAGGGGTCCCTTGCCACCTCCTGGGAGGAGCTGAACCCCACCTTTCCTGGCCTATAGAATGCACCTCATGTGGAACGCCAGCTCTGGGGGTTCAGGATGTGGAGGCCTCCTGGGAAGGCCTGTCCGGTTTTCAGGGCGGAAATAGCTTTGGAGCAGCCTGAATTTTTTGCTTGTTTGAGACAGGATCTCACCGTGTAGTCCAGCCTGGACTTGAACTCATTATGAAGCCCAGGCTAGCCTCTAACTCACGGAGATCCCCCTGCCTCAGTTTCCTAAGTGCTGGAATCACAGGCCTGCACCACCATACCTGGCTAGAGCAGCATGCATTTAAGGAAGACTTTTATAAGAACTTCCAGACAGGATCGAGATTGACAGGGATTTAAGAAGTCAGTTTTTCAGTAGGTGAAGTTGAATCCAGCTGGTGGGGGGCTGGGGTCCGTTTGCCCACGAGCACAGGCAGGCCTCGGTCATCCACCGTCACTACTCCTTTGTGCCCCGGGTTGCCGTCCTGGTCTCTGTCTCCCGACCCGTGTCTAGACCAGGCCCACGCGTTCCCCTCCTGCTTACCTTTGCTCCCTTGTCGCTGTAAGTAGTCTAGGGAGAAAGAAAGGGACAGTGAGTCCAGGAGGCTGCAACCAGGGGCTTCGGGAGGTCTCCCGCAGATGCTCGCACCCGGGACCCTTACCATGGCTGGTCTCGGTCCTACCTCCCACAGGACTGTGACTGGAGGCCTGGAGTCGCTGGGCAGAACTATTTACCACCAGCGGCCCGCCCCCACCTCCTGGCAGAGGAGGGACGCTGCCAGGCCTGGGAGGGGTGGTGCTTGTCCTGGTCCACTGGCCAGTCCAGGGCAGAACCCCCCAGGGCAACATGCCAAGTCCAGGACCCGAGTGAGGACTGTGATCTTTGCCATCCAGATCCAAAGCTCAGAGGCCTTGGCCCGCTTGGGTGGGGGGTGGGGGGATAACGTCAGCGTTGCTACTTGAGGTGACAACTGGGGGCCGGCCTTGAAGCGCTGCTTGCAAAACCAACACACAGATTAGACTGAGGGTGAAAGCCTGTGTTCGCCCTGGTTAGAGGCACGGGTACAGGGGTTTGTAACCCGCTCTGCTGCTGACTGTGTGACCGAAGAAAGTCACCAAGTCCTCTGAGCCTCAGGTTCCCTGCCTGTAAAATGGGAACAATAATGGTATGATGGGGTATTCTGTGAGCTAAAGCACAAGTCTTTGGAATAGGATGTGGGACATAGTGTAGAGTTTGCTAATTTTTACGATTTGCTGTTTCTTTGGGATTTGAAGGGGGTGGAGATTGGCGGCCTTCGGGGGCATGGCTGTAGCTGAGTATTGGACAGAGGTCCTGCTCTTGGCCCTGCCCAGGACCCACTGGGCAGGTATAGCAGTGGGAAGGTATAGCAGGTGGCCCTGGGGAGCAGAAAGCCTAGGGTTGCCCCCCCAGCGGCCTCCACCCGAGTCCTTGGGTTTTGCTTTCCTGGAAGATGGGGTTGACTGCTGGCATTTATCCAGGGGCTCCAGGACAGCCCCCTGGATCTGCTGCACAGCTGTGCCTAGAAACTCTTAGCACTGTTGGATAACGGAAACCCAGCCGGCAGCCCTGGGGGCAGGGCGGTGACCTGTGCCGTGGGCAAGGGGCCGAGCAGAACTGGATTGGGAACCAGCTTATCCCAACCCCGGCATTCACACCTGAATCACTGCGTGGGCCTCTGTACAAATGGGAGTTACTGATGTCCCTGCCAGAAAGATTGGGAAACTGAGACCCAGAGCCGCAAACACCTGTCCCCAAGGTCACAGAGCTGGCGAGAATAGAGACCCAAATGCCACTGTTAGTTTTTTGGTGGCATTTGAGACAGGATCTATGTAGTTCTGGGTGGTCTATATAGCCCAGTCCAAACTCGTAGTGATCCTCCTGCCTCAGCCTCCCAGGTACTGGGATACGGGCCTGTGCCACCATGACAGGCTTCCCCCTGTTAGATTCTGAAGCCGCCTCTCTATCCAGCCATCTCCCTTCTCTCGATTTTCTGGACAATTCGGGCGGCAGGCGTTGTGGCCCCTGCTTCCTTATGCTGCCTGGCCTGGGAGGAATGCAGACTGCTCCCCAGGTCCATGTCGGCTCCTTGAGTCTGTCTGCAGCCAGGAAATCTGGGGCGGGGCTTACAGACCCAGAAGCCTCCAGTGGCGGAGCAGGGCTCAGCGCCACCCGTGGTCACCTCCCCAGGCCTGCGGGGACGGCTTGTTCCTTGCTCGCTGTGACCCATTTGCTCCATTTTTGGAGTCTGGCCTGAGCACAGGTCAGGGTCCGCTGAGCCAGGGCACGAAGGCTGGGGAGGCGCCACCGCTCAGGCGGGCAGCGGTCTGACTGTCCCTCGCCCCCTGAACTTTGCGTGTTGTATGATCCCACGCGGCGAGGAGCTGGAGCTCCAGGAACCGATTTCCTTGGCCGATCTTGTTCTGTGTACTTTCACTGTAATACATCACAGCCCTGGTGTGGCTCTAAGCTGGGTCCTGTGACTCTTCCTAGCAAATCAGCAAACCTGGGGGTGGTCGTGGGGACCCCTGGGGCAGCAGTGGCAGTGGTGGGAGACGCCAGATAAACCCTGACTCACCGATATATGGCAAGACGTTGTTTGGGGAAGAAAGAAAGAAAGAAGAGGCCAGAAATGCCTCTCCTGAGTCGTACATGCCTGACTCCCGGCTGCGCGCTGGCCGGCTCCTTCCTTCCTCCCACTCCCGGTGGGAGCGGGCAGCCCTGGCCTGAAGCCTGGCATTCACAGATACAAGCGGCCTGAACCTGACTCCTAGCTGAAGCTGAACGCTTTCTGCTGCAAGCTGCTTCCGCCCCAGCTGACTGTGGTACGTGGGTCGCATCACTGTCTGAGCCGGACTTGGACCCCAGGATCTTGGCGATCTGAGCGCCACCCTTCCCCCTGGGTGGGGCCGAGCATTGTGGAGGTTGCTGGACTCCCTGGGTCTCACAGATGCCCAGGACTCTGAAGGACTCTCACTCAGGTGGGGCAGCCACTCCGGGCTCTTTATTTCTGTTGCTGATCCCTCTTCATGTGATTCCCGCCCGACGCAGCCCGCGGGGGAGGGCACCGGGCAGGGGCTGCCCTTCTCCCACCTGCTCCTGGTACATCACACCCAGCTGCTCCCGGGAGCCTCGCTGCTGCTCCAGGTTCCTGCTCAGTTGCTGATTGCGGCGCTGCACCGGTGGCGGGATCCACACCCTTCCCCTTGCTCCGGGGCACACAGCTCGGCACACACTGTCCTGTGCCGCTGTCACTGCCTTTCTGCCCAGGTCCCCCGCCAAGTCGGTGGCTGTGGCCACACTACCTGCCAGCTCCAAGCGAGGACCAACTGACCGACCTGGTTGTGGATTGGCAGCTCCAGGGAGAAAGAATGGGCCGGGCAGCAGCGCCAGGCCCAAGAAAGCCCCTGGCTGTTGTAAACTACCAAGCAATGTGGGGTTTTACTCCCAAAGTGACTGCTTCACGATGGCAGCCTAGAGGTGGAGATGAGACCCCGTGGGGCACTGCCATAGTCCAGAGAGGGTTTAGTAAGGCACCATTTGGGGAAAGGTGCCACAGAACAACTAGAGAGCAACTTCCTTTCAGGGATTCCAGGGTTACCTTCCCACACTGACTGGGTGAGATACAGCCACGGGAGACAGCTCCAGAGGCGGTATGGAATAGACAGAGACCCCTGTGAAGTTTAAACTCAGGCCAGGAATAAGCCAGGCATGGTGGCTCACACCTGTAATCCCAGCACTGGAGAGGCTGAGGCAGGAGGATTCCATGAGTCCAAGGGTAGCCTGGGTTACATAGTGAGATCAAGGCCAGCCTACCTAGTGAGATCCTGTCTCCAAAAACAAAGAAAACAAAACAAAAACCTCAGGCCTGAAAGGACATGGGCTTAGCCCTGCATGGTGAGAAAGCAGACCCAGTCAGGACAGATTTCAGAGGTGGCTGGATTGGAAAGTGCTAGCATTACGTCCACCCGTCTGCTTGAACTGCTGGTCTGCTGCCTACATCCAGCAGAGACCAGTGATCAGATTGCTTTCCATACCTACCAACACCAGCAAGGACTCACATCAGCTTGGATGGTTGCCATAGTCTGGGGTGTATGGACAGAGGGACCTCTGGAGGAGGGCATCTCGTAATGCCACAGGCCATAAAGCTAGGTGGAGAAATCATGACTTGCTGGATTCCAAGGCTGTCCACTCTTGTTCAGTACAGTATTCTAAACATTAGCCAGAGCAGTCAGGTGAGAGAAAGAAATAAAAGGGACAGGTATAGGAAGGGAAGAAGTCAAATTATCGTTATTTGCAAATCATATGATCCTCTACTTGGAAGATCCAAAAAATTCCTCCAAAGGTTCCTAGAATTAGTAACCAAATTCAGCAATATAGCAGAATACAAAATCAACACACAAAAATTCATAGTGTTCCTCCATACCAAAGATAAACTCACTGAGAAAGAAACCGGGGGAGCAAAATCATTCACAATAGTATTAAGAAAAATGGAGCAGGGCATGGTGGCGCTCGCCTATAATCCCAGCAGTCAGCAGGCTGATGCAGGAGGACCTCTGCAAGTTCAAGACCAGCCTGGGCTACAAAGTGAGCTTAAGGCCAGCCTGAACTGCATAGTGAGAAGTGAGACCAAAAATGACCAAAATGACAAAAAAAAAAAAAAAAAAAAAAAAGATGCTTCCTGTTCCTGGATAGGCAGAACCAATATTGTCAAAATGGCCATATTTCCAAAACTGAGACCTTGTGTTTCCTCCCCAACACCAAAAGTGAAACAAAAGGCCTGGGTGAGAGGAGGTAAATTTTTTTTTTAATTATTGTGTTACTAAGATTTTTATGTTTGTTTCTTGCTTTGAGTTGAGGTCTTGCTGTGTTACCCAGGTTGATCTCAAACTGGAGATGCTCCTGTCTCAGTCTCCTGAGTAGCGTTGGTATAGGCATGGACCACGACGCCTGGTTAAAATGTGCAGTTTTAATTACTGAATGGCTGTGTCAGCTTTCCACCACTATATCAAACACCCGAGATTAATCAACTTTTTCCTGTTTTTTTTAGAACAATGGACAAATAAAATCATATAAATTTAATGTGCAATATACGTCAGTACTAGGAGTGGCATGCAGGGCCTTTGTGCTGAGCTACATGCTCAGCCCTTTTTCATTATTTTTTGGTATTGAGACAGTGTCTTGCTAAATCATCAAACTGCCTGAGCTGGGCTTAAATTTGTGATCCTCCTGCCTCCCAGAGAACCTGGATTACAGGCGTGTGCCATCAAGCCTGGCTAACACACACACACACAGATTTTTTTTTTAATAGTAAAGAAGGGAGGGGGCCAGGGATATAGCTCAGTGGCACAAGCGCCTGCCTGGCAAGCACAAGGTCCTGAGTTCGATTCCAAAAAAAAAAAAAAAAAAATTAAAGAAAAGTGAAATCTCAGAATGTGGGGAGGTCAGGACAGAAGCGCACATTCATAATCTCAATTTTCCAGAGCCTTTCCTGGCAGCTTCCTCTTCTCTCGGGGAAATTCCCTTCCCTTCCCTAGGCTGGGCCAAGTTTTTAATTCAGAATCCAGTGCCCCAGCTCGGGGCACACAGCACTGGAACCTGCATACCCCCAGCATCCCCTCTACCAGCATGAATTTGGCTTCACTGGGCTTCGGGGGCCCTGGGGGGCCCTGAGTGGTGCACCGAGCGGCCACGGCACCCTGCCCGCCCAGCGCCTGTCCCATGTGCGGTACCCTGGTGTGCACCGTGTGTGGAGGGGCGGTATGCCTGTCCTCTGGGCTCTTACCTGTCCTGGTGCATCCTGGCTGTCACAGCATTGTCGCCACCCTGGGAGGTGACGGGGTCGGCTGCACCCTAGTCCAGCGCTGCGCTGCACCTGAGTGAACGTCTCCAGTCGGGCAGACAGAAAGGGCTCCTGTGGACGCTTCCTGAAAAGCCCCAGCTCACTTTCTGAGAGAAACCCCGTGATGAATAGGGCTCATCTGAGCAGGCGGCCCCGGCCCTCCGAAGAGCCCGACTGAGATGGAAACTGCCGCAGGTCTCGCCCCGCCACGGGTCGTCTTCTGAGAACCACTGAGCTGAGGCTGTCCGGCTGAGGGCAGGGGGCGGAGCATGCGCAAATCCAGCAGCTGGGAGAAAGGGCCTGAGGTCGGCACGGGACACTTGGACCTGGGAGGGTCCCTGCCACCTCCTGAGTGGAGAATGTAATCCCAGCCTTGAACTCACTGTGTAGCTCAGCTGGGCCTGAATTTGCAGCGATCCTCCTGCCTCAGCCTCCCTAGTGCTGGCATTAGAGTTGTGCACCACCACACATAGCGGACATAAGACTTTTTGAAGGACATTTTGGACATCAAAAGAAGGAAGAGGGCTGGGGCTGCAGCTCTGGAACAGTATTTGCCTAGCACATGTGAGGCCCTGGATGAGATTTTTCCCAGCACCAGGAAAAACAAAACAAAAGAAACTTTTCATGAAAGTGATGGGGAAAAGCTCCAAGACATACTAAGTTTAGAAATGGCACAGAGCAGTGTACAGGACAATTACCTTTTTTTTTTTTTTACCATTTGTGTAAAAAAAGAAAAGAAGACACTGTTTACAGATTTTTTTTTTCTTTTTTTTTTCTTGCGGTACTGGGGATTGAACTCAGGACTTTATGCTTGCCAAGCAGGCGCTTATGCCACTGAGCTATATCCCCAGCCCCAGGTTTTAATTAATTAATGGTTTTAATTTTGTTCTTGCAGTGGATGCTAATTCTCCACAGTGCAAAACCTGCTCAAGACTCCCAGACCCTCAGCGGAGTTAGAGTGACAGGAACTGGCGCAGGACTCCGGGTTTACTGCCTTCCTCGCACTTCCGGGTGCCCTCCCTGGTTCCGCAGCAGGTCCCAGTATGTGATTTTCACCCTAATTTACATGATTTACAGTTTGTAAATATGGTTTCAGCGGGGTTGCGTTGCTTGGGGCATCATTTGCATAGAGTGAAACTCCTTTTTCGGTGCGCAGGTCTGTGAGCTTCGAAGTGCAGTTGTGGGAGGAGCAGGGCCATGTGGAGCAAATTGGATTCCGAGTCCCTGGAGCACTCGCGCCCGCCAGGGCTCGCCACTCATCCCGCCCGCCCAGGCCAGGAGCGGTCTATTTCCTTTTTTCTCTCCTTTTCGTTTTTTCTGGATCTGTTTTTTTTTTTTTTTTCCTGGTACCGGGAATTGAACTCATGACCTCGCGCTTGCCAGGCAGGCGCTGTGCCGCTGAGCTAAACCCCCAGCCCCTGAGTCTGTTTTTGCACGTAAGCTTCTGCTTTTTCCAGAATGCCATATAAATGGATCAGACAGTATGTAATCTTGCGAGTTTGGTTTGTTTGGTTGCAGGGCTAGGGATGGAGCTGGGACATTACACATGCCAGCTAAGGGTGCTACCACTGAGCTGCACCCCCAGCCCGCCCGCCTGCCTGCCCGCCCACCTGCCTCCCTCCCTCCCTTCCTCCTTCCCTCCTTCTTTCCCTTCCTTTCTTCTTTCCTTCCTTCTTTCCTTCTTTCCTTCCTTCCTTCCTTCCTTCTAGGTATTGAACCTAGTGTCTTTGCATTGAGCCTTATTTTTATTTTGGAACAAGATTTTGCTAAATCACCTAGGGTGGACTTGAATTTGAAATCCTCCTTCCTCAGCCTCCCAGAGTGCTGGGATTATGGGCACCTGCCACCATGCCCAACTAATCTCCTGCCCATTTTTAAAAATTCAATTTAATTCAATTTAATTTAATTTAATTTAATTTAATTTAATTTAAATTTGAGACAGAGTCTCACTATGTAGTTCAGCCTGGCCTTGAACTCACAGCGATCCTCCTGCCTCAGCCTCCCAAGTGCTGGGGTTACAGGTGTGCATCACCATACCTGGAAGCTCACCCCTTTTTTTCTTAGTTTTAGCAGGTTTTTGTTTTTGTTTTCTTCTTTGGGCGGGGACAGGGTCTCACTATGTAGTTCAGGCTGTACTGGAATTCACTATTGGTGCAAGTTTGAGGTCATCCAGAGCTACATGGTGAATATCAGGCCAGCCTGAACTACAAAGCAAGACCCTGTCTCACACAAACAAGCAAGCAAGCAAATAAACAACAATAATAATAATTATTAATTTTATTATTATAATATTATTATTAATATAATTATTATTAAATAATAATAATAAAGATAATAATAATAAAAATAAAATAAAATTGATGGCAGGACACATATAACATAAAATTTCCATTGGTGACATTTTTTTTTTAATTCTTTTTTTTGGTACCAGAAATCGAACTCAGGACCTTATGCTTGCCAAGCAGGCGCTTATGCCACTGAGCTATATCCCCGGCCCACTGGTGGCATTTAGTACATCACCGTGTTCAGTAACCATCCACAACATTAACCCAAAGAGTGTTGGTTCCCCCTCCCCCTGCAAAGAACGCCAAGACGCTTAGCTGTCAGCCTCCTATTCCGCCCCCAACCAGCAAGGTGCCCACTAGTCTGCCTCTGTCCTCTATGAATTTGCTTATTTTGGATTATTTTATAGAAATGGAATCATGCAGAGGTTTTCTTTGTAACCAGGTCTTTCAATTTAGTATAATATTTTCAAGATTAATCCATGTTACCTAGATGCACACCTGTGACCCCAACACTCTGGGAGGCTGAGGCAGGAGGATCACAAGTTTGAGCCTAGCCTGGGCAATTTAACAGGACCCTGTCTCAAACTAAAAATGAAAAGGTCTGCGGACGTAGCTCAGTGTGAAGCCCTTGGTTTCAACCCCTAGCACTGAGGAAAAGAGACTACTTCATGTTGTAGCAGGTATGAGTACCTCCCTGCTTTTCATAGCTGGACAGTTGTATACGTGTGTATGTACGTTATTTTGTTCATCCATTATCAGCTGCTGGTGAAGCCTGGGATTGTTACCTCCTTTTTGGCTCCTAGGAATGATGCTGCTGTGAACGTTTGTGAGCAAATTTAATGTGAGTATGTGGTTTTGTTTCTCTTGGGTACATTCCCAGTTGAGGCGCTGCGGGCCATATGGCAGCTCTTACGCTCAACACTTTTGTGTGTGTGTGTGTGTGAGGAGGCTTCTGGGAATCAAACCTAGGGTCTTCACACAGAGCTCCATCCTACAACCCAGCCCTTTTTATTTCCTGAGTCAGGGTCTCACTAAGCTGCTAAGATACCCAGGATGGGTTTCAGTTTTCGATCCTCCTGCTTCAGCCTCCCAGGGTGCTGGGATCACAGGTGTGCGCCTCCACGCCTGGCTGGATTCCCCTGTTCTGTCTCTGATTCCTGTGCCAGGCCCTGTAATAAGCCATGACATGCTACATACTTTCCTCATCCGGTCCCTCATCAACTCCGTGAGCCAGGTGCTATCCTCACTCCCATTTTACAGATTAGAAAAGGCAGGTGACAGAGGGGCCCAGGACACACAGCCAAGGAGGGACAGCTCAGAGCCAACCCCGGCTGGCTTTGGGCAAAGTGGCCACGCTATAGGCACTTGGATATTACAGGGGCGCCTTGGGCTTAGCCCCACACCACCCTCCAGCCAGGAGAGTCGGCCTCGGGGCCGCTTGCTGACACCCTGCCGAAACCTCCTGGTCCTTTGGCCGTGGCTGGGCAGGAAGGACAGGTGTGGCGGGGGCCATGCGGTCCTGGGGTGGGGACACAGCAGGCAGGTAAGGGGACTCTGGCCCTGGCAGACTGGAGCACAGCCTCAGCCCAGGCAGAGCTGCAGCCGTCTCCTGCTAACGGAGTAGCCTCGGGCAAGTAACTCGACCTCTCTGAGCCTGGTGCCCGCATGTGTAAGACAGAAACCATCACAGGGGCCCTCGACCATCCGCCCTGCCGTGCGCAGGGCCCACCGCCGTAGGCCCACCACCAGTTAGGTTTGTTACTATAAAGAAGGCTGGAGGGCTCCTCAAGTGTCCTGAGGGGCCTTGGATTTTATCTTTGAGGCAATGGGGAGCTACTGAAGGTTTTATAGCAGAGTTGCAATGTGATCAGCCTGCTCTGCTCAAGGTCAGCCCAGGGAAGAGAGCCAAGCAGGACACCCACCCAGGTGTCTGCAGTTGACTAGAGTGGCCCAGCAGCCGATTCCTGATTCTTTACTAGGTTTGGGAAACAAACTGAGCAGCTTTGGTTACATTTTAAAATTGCATCTAAGCAGGTGTGGTGGTGTACACCTGTAATCCCAGCACTTGGGATGCTGAGGCAGGAGGATTGCAATGAGTTCGAGGCCAGACTGGGCTCTGTAGTGAGTTTAAGGCCAATCTAAACTCCATAATAAGACGCTGTCTCTAAATAAATAAATAAATACATACCTCAAAAAATCTATCTAAACTAGGCACAGTTGAACATGCCTGCAGTCTCATCTACCACGAAGGCTGAGGCAGGAGGATCCCTTGTCTTAGGAGTCTGAGACTAGCTTGGGCACCACAGTGAGACCCCCATCTCAAAACAAAAACAAAACCCCAGATCTAACAGCAATCAAACAGTATCACTCTCTGTTTCCTAGAATCTGCATCTCCAGACCCCCAGACCCCCAGAGGACACCAGCGTTCCATCCCTCGCTAGGCCTGCAGCCCTCCTGAGCCACGGCCAAAATCCTAGTTGAGGTCAGAGAGGTGAGGGCCGCCCAGGGTGCCCGGCTAGTTCTGCTATCGGGGCTTGTGCAGCTGGTCAGGAGCACTGGGTGGGGCTGCCCTTATCTGTGAAGGCACAGAGCTGCCAGCCTGTGGGGTGCCCAGGGTTGGGGGCAGGAGATGCGGGCCCCTGAGCACCCCCAGACTGTGCTCACGGGCCCCTCCCACTCCTCTCGGAGGCTCAGGGTCCTATCGGGCTCAGGGTCCTATCCATACGTTGGGAGCCCAGAATCTGGGGATCCTGAGGAGTCTCCTGGCTGTTGTTCTTGTCTCTCCAACCTCTATTCCTCCTCTAACATTAGCATCTGACCTTTCCCTGGGGAATCCACCCTGGTAGCCTCTCTGTCCACGTGACTGGGGTGGAACATGCGCGCTAGAACTCTGATTGGGTCAAGGATGAGCACATAACCAGAACTAGCCAATGAGCGTTTGCCCTGGGATTTTGGTTTGAAAAAGAGCCTGAGTTCCCAGTTGGCTGGGCTGACGGAACGGTGCATGGTGGCCACACCTGAGTCCACACAGGGAAACCTGTGCCCTGGATGATGGCAGCAAAGAGAGGCAGAGCTGGGTAACATTTCCAAAAAGTTTGAGAGTAAACATTTTAGCTTTAGAAGATCATGGACTTTGCTGCAACTCCTTAACTCTGTAGCCTGAAAGCAGCAATAATATGTAAATAAGCAGGCATGGCTGTGTGCCAATAAAGTTTTATTCACAAAAACAGATGATGTGTAAGAAAAAACAGCTGGAGCCGGGCATGGTGGTGCACGCCTGTAATCCCAGCACTCTGGAGCCTGAGGCAGGAGGATCACTGCTAGTTTGGGGCCAGCCTCAGCTACATAGTGAGTTCAGACCAGTGTGAACTACAGAGCAAAACCAAAAATAAAAATAAAAGCAAAACAAATAAAAAATGACAGCTGTTCAGATTTGGACCAGAGTTTGCCTTCCCCTCCCTAAACATTGAACAAAACAGGAGCTCAAACCCCAGTTGTGGCACCTGCTGGGTCCCGTGGTGTAAACTTCCCCTGTGGCCAATTGCAAGCTGCCAACATGAGGTCACTGAACTTCAGTTGAGAAACACAGGCCCAGTGTCACATCACACAGGTACAGTAAATGTAAATAACCCCAGAAGGGCAGGTAATAAATACCTCAAGGGAGGAAAATGGCCAGGAAGTGATGGGATTTGAGCATTTATTAACTCTTTTATTTACTTTTTTAATTTTTTTTTTTTTGTCTTTTTGAGACAGGTTTTGCTATGCAGGTCTTTTTTTTTTTTTTTTTTTGCCTTTTTGCCTTTTTGAGACAGGGTCTCGCTATGCAGCTCAGGCTGGCCTTAAGCTCACTTTGTAGCCCAGGCTGGTCTTGAACTCGCAACGATCCTCCTGCCTCAGCCTCCCGAGTGCTGGGATTACAGGTGTGCGCTACCACACCCGGATGCTATGCAGTTCAGATTGGTGCTGAATTTACTTTGTAGCCCAGGCTGGCCTTGAACTCTCAATGATCCTCCTGCCTCAGCCATCCTAGTAGTGGGTTTATGGGCGTGC